GATCATGTGATGCTTGTCTTTCTCTGACTGACTTATTTCACTTAGCATGATACTCTCCGGGTCCCTCCATGCTGTCTCAAATGGCAAGAAATTCTTCTCTTTCACTGCTGCATAGTATTCCATGGTATAAATGTACCATAGCTTTTTTATCCACTCATCTACTGATGGGCACTTGGGCTGTTTCTAGATCTTAGTTATTGTAAATTGTGCTGCTATGAACATAGGGTTGCTTATATTCTTTCTGATTGGTGTTTTGGATTTCTTAGAATATATTCTTAGAAGTGGGATTGCTGGGTCAAATGGCAGTTACATATTTAATTTTTTGAGGAAACTCCATACTGTTTTCCATAGTGGCTGCACCAGTCTGCATTCCCACCAGCAGTGTACTAGGGTTCCCTTTTCTCCACATCCTCCCCAGCACTTGTCATTTGTTGATTTGTTGATGGTAGCCATTCTGACAGGTTTGAAGTGATACCTCATTGTCGTTTTAATTTGCATCTCTCTGTGTTTATCATAATTTCCAAGTGGGAGAACAGAGAAAGAAGAGTACATACATTAAGGATCTAGGGTTATACCCAAGTGGAGGGCATCCATCTAAACTCTTTCTCTCTCCTGCCTTTTAGCCCTTCGTCTCTTCCCAAAAGTGTTCCTCCACCGGAAGGTCTGCGGCACGATAGAAGCTTGTCGCCTCTTTTCCAGGGCCAGGGTGCAAGCAGGTGACTCCGGAGAACGCTGCTTACCCGTGTGGTTCCCATTCGATGTCGCACTGTCATTTCCCCCGCAGTGTCTAAGGGAAGGGGCACCACATCTACCACCAGAAAGGCTCCAAGGCAGCTTTTACGTGACTTGTTTCTGATATATGCTTATTGCGAAATAATTCTAACAAAAGTTTAAAAGAACTAAAATCCCTACGAACTAGAGGAAACTCCAACAACATTTTGGCATATTTCCTTCTGGTGTTTTATTCATTTTGTTCTTTCATAATCGAGCTCTTTATTGTGCATGCAACTGTTTTTGCTTAACATTATGGCACATATATTTGTCCATGTCATTTTGTTTTTATGGCTACGGAATTATCTGTAGAGTAGCTGCACCACGATTTACTCAAGTTATTTTCTGATTTTTTACAATTACAAATAACACTGATAAACAGCCTTGTGCGTAAATCGCTGCCCTTCTTTTGGGTGATTTACTAAAAGAGTAATTGGTGAATAAAAAGGTATGTTTTTATTTTTTTTCTTCTTTGGGTATATATGGTTTTTTTTTGTGTGTGTGTGTGTGTGTTTTCTTTTGGAGGGGTGTTACTTTTTTTAGAGACAGACAGTGAAAGGAAGGAGGGAGGGAGGAAAGAAAAGAGAGAGAGAGAGAGAGAGAGAGAGAGAGAGAGAGAGAGAGAGAGAGAGATTGGTTGCTTCCCACACACGTGGACCTGGAGCTGGAGGCGAACCCGCAATCCTTAGTTAACCTGCAACCCTTTCATGCACAGGCTGCCGCTCTCACTGCTCACTGAGTTACGGCCAGGGCGGGTATACGCGTTTTTAAAAACTCCCAAATACAGTGCCAAACTGATTTCCAGAAAGATTATCAAATTATACCG